TTCATTAAAAATTGAAGTCTTAAATTAAAGGGTGATTAAACATCTGTCTTGAAATTTAAAACGATCGTGTCGTCTTTTGTTTGTCTGGCTTAGATGGATGATCATTGATTTTAAACTCTTCTAGGATTTCTTGATAAGGAAGTTGTCAGTTTTTAGCAATATAAAGAAATGTTATTATAGTCATTATAGATATTATATGTACCATCAGGGAATATTTATGATATAGCCATGTATATTATGTTTATATTCCAACGAAGACTGGACATAATGTGAACCTGACACAGTTCCGATTACCACTTACTTACTTAGAAGTATCTTATTGTAAGTGTCCCGGCTTGTATATACTTACATAATTCAATGTTTTTATAAGATTATTTAGAACATTAGACTGGAACATGACTATCTTTTTGACCTTTTATATATAAATATCATTAAAAACCCCAAAAATACTTACTCAGATCAAGCAAATCACAGAGGATTTACAAGCACAATCACAGAGGATTTACAAGCACAATCACAGAGGATTTACAAGCACAATCACAGAGGATTTACAAGCACAATCACAGAGGATTTACAAGCACAATCACAGAGGATTTACAAGCACAATCACAGAGGATTTGCAAGAACAATCACAGGATTTACAAGCACAATCACAGAGGATTTACAAGCACAATCACAGAGGATTTACAAGAACAATCACAGGATTTACAAGCACAATCACAGAGGATTTACAAGAACAATCACAGGATTTACAAGCACAATCACAGAGGATAATACAAGCACAAGGATTTAAATGAACAATAATAGGGGTCAGGGTTGTAAAACTACAGAGGATTGACAAATGCAAGAGTAATTAAAATCACAGAAGATTGATAAACTCAATAACAGGAGTTTGAGTAAGTAAAATCACAGAAGATTGAAAAGCACAATAACAGGAGTTTTGAGTAAGAAAAATGACAGAAGATTGAAAAGCACAATAACAGGAGTATTGAGTAAGAACAATGACAGAAGATTGAAAAGCACAATAACAGGAGTCTTGAGTAAGAAAAATGACAGAAGATTGAAAAGCACAATAACAGGAGTCTTGAGTAAGAAATATCACAGAAGATTGAAAAACACAATAACAGGAGTATTGAGTAAGAAATATCACAGAAGATTGAAAAGCACAATAACAGGAGTCTTGAGTAAGAAAAATCACAGAAGATTGAAAAACACAATAACAGGAGTATTGAGTAAGAAAAATCACAGAAGATTGAAAAGCACAATAACAGGAGTCTTGAGTAAGAAAAATCACAGAAGATTGAAAAGCACAATAACAGGAGTATTGAGTAAGAAAAATGACTGAAGATTGAAAAGCACAATAACAGGAGTCTTGAGTAAGAAATATCACAGAAGATTGAAAAGCACAATAACAGGAGTATTGAGTAAGAAATATCACAGAAGATTGAAAAACACAATAACAGGAGTATTGAGTAAGAAATATCACAGAAGATTGAAATAAACAATAACAGGATTATTGAGTAAGAAATATCACAGAAGATTGAAAAACACAATAACAGGAGTATTGAGCAAGAAATATCACAGAAGATTGAAAAGCACAATAACAGGAGTCTTGAGTAAGAAAAATGACTGAAGATTGAAAAACACAATAACAGGAGTATTGAGTAAGAAATATCACAGAAGATTGAAAAACACAATAACAGGAGTATTGAGTAAGAAATATCACAGAAGATAACAGGAGTCTTGTTTTATATCATGTATTTATTGTTGTGTTTGTTTATATGTATATTGCTTCGGTAATGTAGATGTATATATATTGTAAACCAGAATGAAAATGATTGCCCTTGAATTAATTCAATGTGTCTAATTTGGCTTGTAGGCCTGATAGAGACTACATTTTTTATACGATCTTGATGAAACTTGGTATGAGACCTTGGTAAAGATTGAAATTAGTAAAAATAGGATGATTAGTTTCACATATTAAACCACTACAGACTTTGTTATCATTTCTGACAGCTGGTAGTGGGCGTATTTTACCTTGCCTGGCTAGCACTCTTTTATCGTAAAGAGTGTAAACAACTGTAATCTTATCACAAATTGTCTTAAATAGAGAACTATTTTTCTTCATGCAAAATTTAGAGGGTGACAATTGCAAACATTTCACTGAAAATATAGACCTTTAAATAATGCAAATCCGATTAAACCCTGACCCCAAAAAGTACTAATATATTCAAGATGGCGGCTGATCTAATACTTCAGGGATGAATTATATCATTTGAAATCTTTTATAATTCTAAATTTTGAAAATAGAATTTTGTTCGCAATGAAAATGTCTATCTACTTGTAAATTTTCAGATCGATTGAAATAAAATTGTAGAAGTTGAAAAAAGCATTAAAATTAAAACAAAAAAAAAGTCAGCGACAAAGTCAAAATCTTAAATTTTTTAAAGTGCTATCATTTAGACATTAGTTTGAAGTAATGAACAAAACAAAATTACGGTCAAAATACATTCAGAATTAGAGCAGTAATTCGAAATAACTAATGAATGTTTAACGTCCTATGTCATTTCCGGTTGGTCAAAACTGCGTCATTTTACATTCACCTAGTAGCAACACGCTAAGTGTGAGAGACGATCATGTCAGATAATGTGTGACATATACAGTTTTGGCTGGGGAGTGTGACCAGAAGTAGACAAAAAAAAAAAGTCAGTTTGAAAACAAAGCAGTGCGTTCTAATTAGCTCTACATACACCAAATGCTACTTAATACCTGGTTTGATGTGCCGGATCACATTTGATGAACTGTTTCAGGTTTTTGCTTTGACTTATAGATGATTTTAAGATTATTTGAAAATTTATTATTAAGATTTTGTTATCATTTCTGACAGCTGGTAGTGGGTGTATGTTACCTTGCCTGGCAAGCTATCTTTGACGATTTTTTAAGCATTTTTGTCCATTGGAAACTGAATTTGATTGTATGGATTGTAAAGAGGTTTTCTAAACTTTTAATTTATATTTGGGGACACTGATAACATCATTTTCACCATTTCGTTTTTCAATCAGACATCTGTAAGTCTTGTAATTCACCTTAGTGCTACTAATATCTAAGGGCATGTGTAATTGGGACATTATAATTGGGTTAATAATTCTTTCATTACAAGAACCACAGACATCTGACTGAACATTGGAATGATGCAACTAGAAGCCGGAAATGGCCTTGATAGACATTTATTAAGATTATCAAACGAAACACTAAGACATACAATTCCCTGTTATATGTTGTTTATTTGATTTCTATTTTTGATATATTTAGTACTTGTCAACTTGTTAAGAGACTTGGCAATAGAGGAAACACCACTTTCTACTTAATTCAAGAAATTCAAGATGACATCTCTTGCCTTGTATATGTAACAATTGTATTATATTTTAATTTCACACCTCTAGAGACAACTATTTATTGTAAATCTTGTGAAACACAATTTACAATAGTAAAGATAGTTCGATGAATAAAATGAAGCAAATGACAGTATTATTTTTAAAATTTATTCATTGAAATATAACAAGGATTGGTCACTGTAAATTATCAATATAATTTATCTGGAATATCTCAACTAGGCATCCCTTTTTTAGAGTCAATATATTTTCGAATTAATTTTAGTGGAATTCAAGTGACCTATTTCTGACCTATTTATAGTTTCTATTGGTACGATTGAGATTTTCAGTTTGATGTCTAAATATGTATTGTGACATGATGATTCTTTTCCATAGAGATCTACCGGTAACTCTACTTGTCTGACCTGTCCTTATTAGCCAAAAAAAGTGCAAAACGACGGAAGTAAAGCTTCTTTTGAATTTTATATGTCTGATATATTTAACTTGATTTACTCGCATGAATGAAAAAGATCCATCATGTGGAAAATGTAGACAGAATGAATCAGTTTTAAAAAATATAGAGCAATCTGATTGAGTTTGGTTCTTTGTTAAATAATTAATGTCACCAGTTGGCTTGTTGTTAAATTTTATATGATTATTGATAACCTCAATAGAAAAAATGCTTGCATTTGTCTACATAAAATATCTTTTACATCTTTTTTATTAAATTTCAAATTATAATTTTAAAAATAATTTGGTTTGGATTTTTTATTCCTGATTTAAATCCCAGAAAGCTATGTTCAGTTTATTTATTTCACAATTCAATACTTCTTTGATTCCTTAAGCCTTTTCTGGACAAATTATAACAAGCTATAACTTGCTTAAAGAATTAGTTTTGAAAATACCTTTGAAGTCACTGATCTTGTTAAAGAAAGTAAATAAAATACTTTAGTTAGACTCTTACTAAACTGTGATGTCAAAATAGAAAAAAAAGTTGTTCAATTTAATCAATCAGAGTGAGAAGAAACCTTTCAACTTTTATACACTCTACAACCATATAAATACTGAACTTAGGTCTTCAAATATTGTTTTAACACAAATAACATTTCATCATATCGATTGAAATCACAAGAATAGATTTGACAGTAAAACAATTGACACATAATTTGAGAAATCTGAATGCACTTTGACTTTTAATTTTTTCAAATTATGTCCAAATTGATTACAAACCGTGATTTTAAAAAGAGCAGATGTGCAAATGTGATCAGACAGGTGGACAGGCAGACAGCAACATTCATGCATTATAAAGAGAAGTTGACTGGAATTCTATTTGACTTTTCTAATGATTCTCATAAAGTATAGAGTAGGTTATGATTTGAAAAGAAAGTAAGATGATAAGTATTAATATACAGTATGAAATTGTCAATTGAGTTCAGAAAAGAAGGAAGCCTTTATTTTGTATTGAGTTGCTCATTCACATTTATGTTTTGTTTGCTTTATCTGCTTACAAAACCTGTAACACATATCAGTATGGATCTTTTCATTCAGACTGTGTTATATTTCAGGTTGGTAAAGAGTGGAGATATGTAATTTATAAAACAGATAAAGAGTTAAGAATGAAGATAAATGGATACTTGTGTTGTGTTTTAATATGCATGGACATCATTTAGAAGCGTATTTAGATATTTCTCCCCCTCCAAGTCCTGCCATGGGCAAAGGTATTTAAAAATAAGCTATAGTTCTGTAAAATTATATCAAATTAACAGACTGCTCTTTGTGATATATTTCCTCAGCTAGATAATGTCACTGAATAACTAAAAGTGATAGGATAAGAAAAGTTATCTTTATCACTCAGAAGTGTAAGACTACTATCTCAATATCTGTTTGTACATTATTTGAGATCAACTGCATATGAAAAGGATTGGTACATTAGGAACTCAATAAGTCACCAATAAATCACCAATAAACCTGTCACCTGAATTAAATGAATTGAGTATTTAATTGATTTTGGAGATACCTTGTCACTCATAACTGATGTAGAGGACATTTTCAATACTGTTTCATGCAACTTCATGGGAAATGATTTGTCGATCTAACTTCATTGAAATTTTGACTCCATAGAAAATACTGACTGCATCTTGCCTTTGTAATAAGCCTAGGATGTAATATTCTGATTTTTTCTTAGCCATTTTGTGCTTGTTCTTATTTGCTAACAGGTTTGTGTTTGATTTGTTTTACTAGTTGTATCAGAAGGAGATATGCCACCTGATGTTCATCAATCCCAGTTCTCTGTATTCGATCACCAAATTACAAACAATGTCTCCCAGGATGCTTACACTTTTCATTCTGAAGACACCAAATATAGTGATGTTATGGCAACTGATGTCAAACGCAAAAAAGGTAGGTTTGTTGATATTTTCAGTACTAACCAGTAAGTCTTGTTTGGTTTGGTGACATTGAAAAGTTTCTTTTTTCTAATTATTCAAGGCGACCACATAAAAAAACCAATGGACCTGAGTATATGTCTATTATTTATTTATTTGTAGGTATTGGTGTAGCAGGCAAGAGTATAGAAGAAGAATTATGTCGTATTTGTGGAGATAGAGCATCAGGGTATCATTATAATGCTCTTAGTTGTGAAGGCTGTAAAGGTAGGGATTCATATGTTGGTAATATTGTTTACAACTTTAAATATATAAAAATATTGTAGAGTTTAAATATTAATGTTAACACTATAAATCTTGTATGCATAAGTAATAATATGAAAATATCATGCCTTTCTTTGGTTTTAAGTACTCTTGTTACTTGATACTGTTCAATGACTTTGCTTTCCCTTCTCGAATATCCAATAACATACAATCGAACCAATAATAAAGTATAGTTACCAGTTTGTGGAATAGGGCCACCATAATTAACCACCGTACCTCAGCTATCTCACATGTGGGTACTGGGCTCTTGTAACCAATGTAAGATTTATACTATTTGGTATTCATGTTTAACCAATAGAACAATGCACGAGGTCACCTGACAAATTTATTGAAACCAACCACAAAACAATTGATTACCCCATATGATAAACAACCTTGTTTCACTATACAACCATATTCTTTCCTACTCAACTGCCAAAAAATAATTACAATTAATTAGTATTTACACCAACCCTTTTTTATGCTTACAAATTATATATCAAAACCATGACATTAGTTAATATACCTATCAAAACTAAAATCAAGAAGCTAACTTAATTACACCATTGAATAAAATATATATAACAAATATATAGCTATACCAGAATTAATTTATTCCTATTAGCTATATAACCAAAAACCGTCATGTTGTTACTAATTATTACATGTGGACCAAACTCCTCTGTGTAAAAGATATCAAGGCACAAAACACACTCTGTCACATTTAGATATAGATATAGTATGTGAGATGACATGTTATCAATATAAGTAATTTGTATTGACAGTAGTAAAATGTGAACATGTGGAAAGTCACAGTACTGGGATAAAAAATCTTGACTAAAAAGATTGACCAACTTTGAGATTGGATGAATGTCATTCTGTTTAATTTCAGGATTTTTCCGTCGCAGTATTACTCGTGGTGCCACCTATAGTTGTCGATATGGTGGAAATTGTGAAATGGATATGTGGATGAGAAGGAAATGTCAGGCATGTAGATTACGGCGCTGTAAGGAATGTGGTATGAAAGAAGAGTGTAAGTAATATTTGACCATATCAAAATGGGGATTGAGATGACTTTCTTCAGGGAAACAAGTTGATGCTAGCATGATTCCAGACAATAATATAGATTTAAGTCAATATAAACCATTTAATTCATAGCAGTGTGTTATATACATCCTTCTCAAGGTAGCCATATGCATGCCATCTTCGTATACTAGAGGTAGATTTTGATTTATGCTGGTTACTTTTTAATGTTGGCCCAAACTGTAGATCACAAGAATAGATCAAAAAGAACAAACCTGATTTTATGGTCAGAATGTGAAATGTGCCTGATAGTTAATCAGCCAAAATACCCTTTTCTATCACTTGCTTCACATTACAGGTCTGTTATCAGATGAACAATGTAAAGCTCGAGATGCTAGGCGGAAAGCAAAAGCCAAAGTCAATCCTGTCAAAACAGAACCTATACCAGACAGTAATGGTTTGTCTCCAGAAAGCAAACAGCGTAGTGTAGGAGACCGTAATGGTGGTACACAATCTGTATACACCAATCCTCTAACAGTTATCAATAGTAACCCTATGAATAAGGTTGCCCACCATCACAGACAGTTAATAGAGGAAGTGTGTCGTCTTCAAGATAAATACGAGTTTCCTGATGAAGCTGATGTTGATAAAGCAACGGTTAGTAGCAGTCAAAATAAAATTTGTTAACAATTTATGTATTTCTCAAGCAATTTTCTTCTGAAGATGTATAAGTTATCAACTTTTCTGCCATTAATAGCTGTATGATTGTGAACTTGATAATTTTATTTGTTACCTATCACTCTCTGTTCTTCTGCAGGTGCTAATATAATTGATAGAAAATTTACTTTTTATCTGAGCAATAGGTCTGTTAATAGTAAATTAAACATTATATTTATTAAGTGTAATTATCAGTATAAATAACCTTTCACTCCTAGAAAGAAAATTATTATTTTTCACCTTTAAAGGTGCAGGTGTACAGAACAGTATATAGCACTTAATAGAAAGGTCAGCAATTCAGATTTCGGCACAAATTTCTGCAGACCAAGACCACCAATGCTGTACATGTTAAAAAGGCCAATTCCTATGTCACAAACCCATAATAGTAAAATGTTGAACTTTTTTATTCTGGTATACAATAATAAACTCTATTGTTACTCTAAAGAGATATAGAACTGAAAGACGTTTCTATATTTCCATTTAAAAGTATTTGTTTTATATTTTCAGTGTGTAAAGCCTGATATGAAAGAAGTAACAGCTGATGCTATGTTTCGGGATATGGCTGAAATGACAGTATTAATCACTAATTTAATTGTTGAATTTGCTAAAAGTTTACCCGGTTTTACTAGCTTATCGAAAGCAGATCAGATTGTTCTGTTAAAGGTAACAATTAGATATAATTAATGAATGGATCGTAGTGTTAAAATTTGACGACATTTGCTAGGTTACTGCACACAAATAGTGGTTGTGGATTTTAATCTGGGTTGATGTGGTCATCTTTCCTGCTTATTGCACTTGACCCAGCTGTAAATGAATACGCATAATCTATGATCAATGCAAAGAATCAGTCGGTAGACAGGATCATTGTCAAGTTGTTCTTATGTTATCTATATCTTTTGATCTGGCTTAAAATCGGTATATTTATTGAACATTTGAAGATTGTTGCATTTTGATGATTTGAATCTGAGTATTTGATTACCTTCTTTACAGGCTGCCTCTAGTGAAGTAATGGCTATAAGAGCAGCAAGATGTTATGATTTAGAAACTCGGTGTATAGTCTTTGCTAATGGTGTACCCTGCACCCTGGAGAACATGAAAGCCACTGGAATGGGAGAATATGCGGAATTAACCTATCAGTTCTGCCATAATATGGCTGTTATGGAAACTGATAATGCAGAATATGCCTTACTTACTGCTATATCAATATTTTCTGGTAAGTATTGACGGAAAGAACATTGACTGGCACTCTAGCTATTGTTGGTTCACAGACTATTCTAGATTATAGGATGACTATACAATGCAGGGCTGACAAATGTGGACAGCAATGGCAGACAGAGAATAGACTTTCAGATAATTGGCTGCAAGAGCTTTGATTGCTTTGAGTGTCGGCTAGCTTTGGCAGAGCATGTAGTACTAAGTGATCTAGAGCTTTTGACCTGTCTAAATCTAACCTACGTGGCGTGGAAAAGAAACCTACCAAATTTCCCAGAAAAGTACATTTTCCAGCTATAATGGCCCCAAGCATTGACATTCTGCCAGCCCATTGAGGCTCATCATATTAACTGTAATTGGAAACATCACGTTGGATTTGAATATGTATCTGATCTCTATTACAGAACGACCAGGTTTAAGTGAGAAAGATAGAGTAGAGGAAGTTCAGTATAGATATGTTAGTGCTCTTGAATCTTATGAACATATAAAGCGTCATAAAGGAGCCTGTTCGTTTGGGAGAATTTTAAGCCTTTTACCTGATTTGCGTTCAATTAGTGCTGAACATTCAAAAACAATCGTGGAGATTAGTCAACAATCTTCTCATATGCCCGGTGATTATTGTGAGGTCAAAGACATCTATGTTGATCCTCCCGAAGGCACATGAATCCTGCCAAGTGTACAAGAGGCTGTGTTCACATTTTTTGTACACCTGTATATTTGTATTGATTTATATTGTTACCTAAGCTACTGACATATTAAGAGAGTTCATGGGTGAATAAAAATTTGGGATAATCAGTTTCAAAAATCAATGTATGCATGTGGAAGCAATTGTTATGCTAATGATTTGAGTGTCAGATATCCAAAAGGGCATGAAAGGTAATTATGGTAAAATCTTCCATCCTTCAAAGTTCCAGGAGATGAGGCTTGATGACAAAAAAGTTGCAATAAAGTATTCTGTGGAATGAAAATGATTCCATCTCTGTAATGACTTACTGTTTCTTTTCCTACCAGCATATATCAAGGAAATAAATGAGAGTTTAAATTTTTCATGTAAAATAAAGGTTATGAAAATTTTATCAAGTGGCAGCATAGTTTTAAAACTTACACTTTTATGATACTTTTTGTGCCTCAATGTTAGGAAGAAATGGAATGTAATGGAATTAAGTGGAACTGTTTGAAATTTAGCGGTCTAATTCTGAAAAATAGGAATCTATGTGGCATGGAAAAGAAATCAACCCAATTTCCAATAGGTGGAAGTTACAATTGGAATATCAAAGCAAGACAAAAATACTTATGAGAAACTTATTTGCAGAAACATTTTCTTAATGTGTCAGTGGAATTTCTTGAAAGGTTGTTTTAACATGTGGCTTCTTAAAGATTAACCTTCAACAGGGCCTTATGTTTTACTAACTCTAGCTGGATGATATTTTAAACTTTTGTTAGATTTTATTTCACTGTTAATAGTGGGTTTTAATGAAAGTCAAATAAATCAAGGAACTAATTTTGCCTAAATAACAATCCACTCATTATTCAGTGTCTTATAGTATGTTATATAATGGCTGGAATAGTTGTTTTGATAAGCTGTCTCTTAAATTAATCATGATTATGAAATAGTTTTGTTGTTTTATTATTATTTTGTTATGTTTATAACAAGAATTGGACTTTATTTATAGAAAATCTATTAAAATTTGGCAAAAAAAACTGTTCTGTGTATGAATCAGATTGTTAAATGTTATGTCAAAACCTACATACATGTTATTAGTTATCGGTTTTAGTTAAAGCTGTTATCCCATGTAACTAACAACTAAAACGCTTTTGATATTTTCAAATGATTTATGTATATAAGTGGGTCTAATGCTTTTAAGAATTTAAAGTGGGTTCAGAATGTTGGATACACAAATATTTTACACAGAGTTAAGTTGAAGATACAAATTATGTTTAAGTCATCTGATCAGTCATTGTTAAACATTAGGCTTTACCAACCAATCAGATAACTGTTATTCTTTTAAATCTATTGATATTTTAGTGTCTAGTATGGATTTTAGTGGTAACTTGATTTTAGTCTGATTTTAGATATTGTTATAAGATAAGTATATTGTTATAAAGGTGAGAATATAAGTGATATCCAACATTTATAGAACTCTTGCCAACTCATTAGTGCAGCTCTTAATGTATATTTGCTTTAAACTTGTTTATCATGCTTATTCAGAGTAGCTGGGCTAGGTTTAATCAAGCTATCAAGGTTTTAAAATTCATTTCAGGCTGAATTTTAGATTTCTTCAGCAGGTTAATTTGTTGCATCAAACCAAAGAGATGTGAAATTTGGCTCATTAATAGCATTAGAAATTTAAAATTAGTCTATTGTTCTGACACATTTTTTGGTAAATCAAATTTTACCCATTAAAGTACCTTACAGGACTAATAGCTTCATAATAGTACTGATAGTCTTAGAATAACATAGCATTGTTGAAAATTGAAAGTTTTGTTATTTATTATCTGGTATAAACATACTTTCTTCAAAGAAATCAAAAATGTCTCCAATACACTCCATGTGTATATCTTTATCAGCCATTCTAAGACTCCCAGTACAAAATGATGTGAAGCTATTATTCTCAATCACACATAATAATTGGTAGAATTCCATTTATAAACAAAAGGTAAGTGTTACAGTTGATATTAAGCTTATTGTCCTCATATCATCATAAGTATGTAATGTAAATATTGTACATATTGGTTGACCTAATATAATACATCATTGTAAATATTGGACTTCCTTTTTCATATTAATTAACAATTTAATTCCAGATAACTTTTATCTGATGACATCACAACTTTAATGTCCACACTTCATTAATCTCAACAAAACTACGAGAATGTGAGACATTGCTGTCAAATATGAAATATGCAATTTTGAATTTCAATCATTTATTCAAAAGATATATTCTGGATCACTTTCTTTTTCTATTAGCACTTTCAGCAAAAACACTTAATTCCTTGGAATAATTGTAAACTTTAGTTTAAAGTAAAATCTGGTATTATAATGTGGATTAATAATAAAAGAGAAGTCCTGAACTATAATCAGCTACAGATATTTATATACACCCGGGACATCTAGTAAATTATATATAACATTTTTTTCTACTATTCATGAGGATGGCTACTTTTCATTATGACGGCTACTATTTAATATGATGGCCACTATTCATTATGATGACTACTATTCATTATGATGACTACTATTCATTATGATGACTACTATTCATTATGATGGGCCTTTGTTCATTATGATGGGCACTATTCATATGATGAGTACTATTCATTATGATGGGCCATTATTCATTATGATGGGCACTATTCATTATGATGGGCACTATTCATTATGATGGGCCTTCATTCATTATGATGGGCACTATTCATATGATGACTACTATTCATGATGATTAATACTATTCATGATGATGAATACTATTCATGATGATGAATACTATTCATTATGATGACTGCTATTCATTATGAAGGCTTCTATTCATTATGATGACTACTATTCATTATGTTCAATTAATGAACATAAAAAACTGCGCAGATGTTATGGATATATAATTCATTATTAGCTGATTCACCATTCTAGATTACAATATGTAAGAGTTAAAGAAGTAATCAACCTGTTTGTGTTCAAAAGAGTTCTAGATGTATATAAATGCCTATAACAGATTATATTAAAATGTGCTTTTTGAATGATACCTGTGATGTCACTATCATAATGTGCTCAATTAGAATCATCTATCAGTTCTAGCTACCTACAAACACATTCTTTATAAATGACATATTATGGAATCTTCATCTAGATTGAATATTCTTATTTAAAGTTAAAAATCAGTAGCAATATTTATATTAGGCAGGTATAAGCTTAAGGAGGTGTTTGGGAACAATCTTCTTCTGGAATAATTTTTCCATTTTCATACCAAAAAATAAATGCTTTATAGGGCTTAATACTTTATAATATGGTTTGCATTAAGATTACATATTTTATGAATATCAGTTGTTTTTGTAGGTAGCTTTGTGACTTTGAGAAGGGCATGTAGAAATTGTTGATGAAACAAAATTTTATGGGTGACTCAGTCCTGGTCAAAACAATTGATACTTCAAGGAATTACCGACACAATTTATATATTATGATAAATTTTACTATTGAATCAAAATCTCAAGAAATATGAAATGGCGTATGAAATGCCAGCTGAACTAAGCAGCCTTTATGAGTTGAGTTTTCTGTGACAAAGGACTGAGCACAGTTGTTATGTAGGTGTTTTAGATCTTTAGATGAGGCCCATGACTTCACTCAATTCCTCCAATCATATTTTACCATTCATATATATTCAAATATAGGGCATTTCTAGAATATTAATTGTACCATTGGGGTCTTATAGTTTTCTGACTAAGAAAAAAGGTTGTCAATGATACTGATGTATCAGATTGTTGCCAGATTGTTCTAAAAACTCCTGATCATGTAATATCATTGACATACTATAGACATATTACAGGTTTATTGGTGGTTTGAAGGAATTGAGGCTTTAAAAGTCAGCAATTTACACTGGCTTTGATTGGTGGTGAGTATATTCTGGGATCATTCCTTGATAGTGCTGAACAGAGAAAATTACTCGCTTCTCATAAGAATTTTCAGTTACTTCAACTTGAAGTATGAATCCAAGCACGCAAAATCAAGCCTAAACTTATACACCCTTTCAAGCTAGTTTTTATTGCCCTAAATTGATACTGTATATTTGTATATATATATAGTAACCATGAAATATATAGATTAACATTTATTGTCAATTATTTTATACTTGTATATAAACCTGTTGCTGGATTACAATATCTTGGCAGTATTGTCAGATTCTATATTGGCAATATCAATATTTTATAGAATTGCAAGGTTCTGTCTAAAAATGCGAGTACTACAGCTATTTTGACAATAAGCAAAATTTCCAATGTTATTTACTATGTTGTCTGATTATGGAAAAAGCTATTTTTAGATAAAGGTCTCTGTGTAAATAGAACCTATATTTTCTCTACAAATTCTGCTAAAATAGACCAACAACTGCTATAAGCTCACTTTTGTAAAATATGAGCTTGACAAACAATAAATCCTAGTGACTAGGCCAATAGTAATGAAGAAAAAGTAATTTCCACTTGGCTATAGTTGCATTTGGGACAATTAAGCAGAAGACATGTTAAGAAATTGTAGATTAGACAGCGACAACGAAGAATTGAAACAGAATTAAAGCAATACCTTCTCAAAAAAATTATTTTTTTTGGATTTATTGTAGAGATAACATTATTTATGTGGAAGACTATATTGGAAATATTTCACTTAATGTTCTGTTTAGGTTAGATAGAATTCAAGACATAAGATGATGTCAGATAAGCCACAATACATAATATACTTAATTAATTTTTTGAATTATTTCCCTTTACTTACATAAAATTCATGGTAATAACCAATAACAATACTTCAAAATCTAATAGAAAGTGATGATATATGATCTTATAACATATATTAACAATCTGCATACAATAGATATGTTTCCTTTTCTTACAAAAATAGATTCAGATAGATCTAACTCAACTTGCTATAGGAATAGATTCACACTCTTGGTTATTTGCAAC